TATCTTTCTGCTTTACTTTTCAAGAGGAGATATGTATCCTTTTCTTCGAACAGTTATTTCCAACTCTGGTGGCATAATTGAAATTTTGCTGGAATAGAAATCAGAGGACCTGGATCCTGGTCCCAGCTCTGTGACTATTTGCTGACTATATGAACTATAGGCTTGACTTCAAAGCCACAGATAATTTCATCAGCTATAAAATAAGGGGGCTAGACTAATAATAATAGCTATATGATCTTAGACGAGTCATTTAACCTTTGTCTCTTTATCCATTAACATGAGTTTGAACATGATATCTAGAGTACATTTCAACTCTAACAATCTTATGAATCTGTGGAGATGGCAGTGAATACCTCCACCTACTAAATTATCTCCTTACCTCTCGGCAGTCTGTTTGATTATAAATTTTAAACAGGTAGTTGCAACCAGTCTCAGGTTCTGCAAAAAAGTAGGTTTAGTCAGTGATCAGAAGAAACTTTGATGTGCAAATCTCTTCCAAAATAATTTCCATTCCTTGGTCTTAGCCACTGATAACGGACACTGCCAGGGTCACACTTTGGGGATCTTTTTTCCTGATAGCTCATTGAAATCCTGACTCATGTTGAATAAAAATCAAGAGTTTGAACTCCTAACAAGTTGATTTTAATTTGAATTCGTTCCAAATTGGACATAGTAATAGGCAAAAACTCCTTCATGCCCTAGTGGACTGGTGCTATGGCTAACTCATTGTCCAAATCCCCCTGAGTTTCCGTGTCCCTAAAGCTATTTATTCAGTGACTGGATAATCACCTGGTGGGGATATTGTAAAGAGCCTTTTTGTACATCAGGTAGAATGTCAATCTAAGGTAACCTCTAAGGACCTTTTGATGATCTGTGACCTAGTGGCTAAGCCTGTGGTGATAAAATTGTATGCATTGTAAGGGTTAATAAATTTGGAGTACAAGGAAGTGGTGAACAGTCTAGGCACACAAACCCCATATCCAAGTAAAGGAGGACTGAAGGAAGTACCTACTTTTCTTCTAATCAGTCTGGGAAAGCTCTGTGGAAGAGGTAGAATTTTAGGAGCCATTGACCATGCAGAAAGCCTTTGTTTGATGGGGTTGGGAGGAGAACAAAAAAGAAATGAACATTTCAGACATTATGGTACAACTTGGATGTGGGAGTAAGATGTATTGATGAAGGAGACTTCAAGCATATGTAACCTGAGATGAGTGAAGATGGTAGTCTGGATTGGTAGAAAGAAGATGATAGAATCACAAAATTTTAGAGTTGGAAAAGACCCTTAGAGATTATCTACTCCAATGCCATCATTTTCTGGTTAATGAAACTGAGGCCCAGAGAGGTAAAATATTCTGCCCAAGGTCACACAGCTCATTAGTGGCAAAATACTGAGAATATAATTTAGGTCTTGACAAAAATGATATCATCTCAGGGTTCTGGTACTACTTATATTTGGGTCAGTATAGCATATGAATTCTGCCTTAGCATTCTGCTTAGATGTGAAGACCATAAGCCTTCAAAGCTGAATTTGTTAAGAACAAATTTTATTTTTCACAGAAATTTTGATGTACCTAGATAATTAAATGCTCTTAGCATCATTTTTTAAACATCCCTCTCTAAATTATGTGTTTCCAAGCTGTTTCCTTTTCTTCTCCCCTGCCAATTTTGGTTTGAGTTTTGAGCTTTTCATTCTATGGTATGGTATTTTTTTATAGCAGAGGACTTTTTGTACCATAAAATAAGCACATTTTTAAAAAATGTACATAAGACCTGTCTCTAGAAACATCTGGTAAGAATAAGGAATGCTTGAAAAACTATGGTGCTCAGCAATGACCTCTACCTCTTTATTAGCAGGGAGTCCCCAAAGTAAACTTTTATTTCCTGCTGCTGACACACAGAGATCCTTAACTGAAATGTTTTGCGTTGTTTCTGAAACCTGGAGGGAGACTTAAAGTGAACATTAAGGCCAGCAACCTTAGTTTGGGGGAGATAGGGTTGCTTTGAGTTATTTACCCAATATCATCCCTGGATATTTATGGTATGCTAGCCTAGGTCGCATTCCTTTTGAGCCTGTGGTAGAACTGTACTTCTTAACTCCCTCTCCCAAGCCCACTAAAACCCACGTGAACCAACCATACCTAGAGCCTAGGTCCTAGACTTTCCCTGCATACTCCTACTTCCCATTAGCAAAGTCAATACTTGTCACATCATAGGCACTATGCCACAAAGTAATTTATTTCAGAATAGCACTGAATGCCTTTAGGTTTTTTTTTAAAGCAAAACAAAACAAAAACTTGTCCCAGAAATATTCTAAACCATTTTATATTAAACCTTTTTAAAAATTTTATTTTAAATTTAAGTAATAAAACAAGCATTTCCACAACATAGTACAATAAAAAGATGATTGCATATGAAACTGTAAATCATAATGTAATGTAAATATAGTAATATGCAACTTGCTATTCCTTTCAAATATACAACAAAATTATCCTGTAAATTTCTTTTTTTTCTTCCCTCTCCCATGCTCTAGAAATGGCTACCATTAGATACAAATAGATAGA